ATATTATTTAGATTCTTAGAAAACTATATTGATATTACTTATGTACAAGCCCCATCCCGCCAATGGGCTCAGGCTACAAACGAACCGTAAGCCAGCAATGGCATGGGAATGTTGTGGGTGTGGAGTATCGATAAAGTGCGCAATGTATGCAATGCAATTATTAATATTTGTTTTATTGGCAGCGAGTAAAAAGTATATATGTGTATGTCAATTGGCAGTGAGACTTGGTCTTGGTCTTGCTGTTGGTCTTGCTCTTGCACTTGGCCTGTGCGATGGCGTCGTGTATGCCCATTGGCGTCAAATTTGTGCAATATTGGAGCAGTTAGTATATAAATTAGAATGCTAATCGATTGCCATAGATACGCCCAGAAAAGCAATGGCAAATAAAGCTGGCTACAATAGAATGCTGGCAATTCCGGTTAATAAACTTGATTTAAAACCAGAAGTGAGCAAAGCAAAGGCAAAGGCAAAGGCAAAGGCAAATAAATTGCTACTAAGTACGACAGGGGACAGCACAATAAAATCGAATCGAATCGTATCGAATTGAAAAGAATGGAAGTCGCAATCGCAACATAAAGTGTGTAACAAATGGGTCGCAAGTGGAATCAAGTGTTCGAATATGTGACAAATTGTCAAACATTCTCGCAACAAAGGCGGACTGAAATCACACGCGACGCGGCAGCAAAACAAATGCCGACTGCAACTCATTGACAATTGACGTAGCGCGCAGCGAGTTGAGGGACGGGCAGGCTCAAAGCCAACCAGAGCCACGCCACGCCGCGCCAAGCCAAGGGAGAGGCCACACGGCGTATGCGCTATATATTTTTCCTCTTCTTTATTTCTTTTAAATTTCTGTCAGGTTGACTGCCAAAATAAGTGTGTAGCAAAAGGTAAGCAAAGCCCACCAAATGTTCGCGGCCATAAAATCGTTTATATTTCCATGGAATTTCTTAAAAGTTTATTGCACTTTTTATATACCCTGTAGCATTATAAACTATGTGCCTAGGCAGGGTATCATAAAAAGCTGTTATAATAAGACTCACATTGAAATTCTTGAGCAGCAGAGACAAGCCTTTGCCATGGCTTTAAATACCTGTGAATACCTGTATATGATATAAATACGTTGCTAAATCTACTTCAATTTTGTATTTAACTTTCTTATTCTTGCGAATTTTCTTTAGGGCATCTGTTAGTCTAGCATTTTGCACTTAAACAAATAGTTGTTTTATCATTATAATTATTGTCATATACGTGTAATCGCAGCTTAGTGCAAACAAAATACAAATAGTGCAACAGGTTTATTTTATATATATAACATTTATATATATATGTGAGTATATTTATCATTTGCTACTGTTGGCAGCCATTGCAGACAATTTGTTAATTTTGCTTAGCGGCGTTAATTGTTTTGGCCAAAGCTCAGTCGAAATATTGCTGCTGCGGCTGTTGCTGTTGGTTGGTGCCACTGCTGCTGCTTCTATCTTTGTTGCTATTACGAAGTGTGCAATTAAGCTTTTAATAATAATTTGTATTAAAATAGTTGAACGAGTTAAGTTTGGCAATGGGGCTGCTGACGTTTTGCAATTTGGCATAGAATGTGCAGCAAATGAATTACACAAATTGTTTATGAATTTGTTTAATTGTTTGTTGCCAGGCACTCTACGAAGCTTTTGGCCAAATAAGAAAGTGCAAAGTAATATAAGTTTGAGTCTGAGTCAATGAGTAACTGATTGATTTAGTTGTATGCTTGAAACTTGAAGCAGGTGCAAAGTTATTTGATTTTAATTAAGAAATAAAAAATATGCAACCTGAAAATTACCAAATATATTTATATTTCAGAAACAATGTTCAATTGAATATAGAAATAATAATTGAATTGGTAATATGACAACATATGGAAGCCTGTCTAATTCACATCGATCTCAAGCTAAGCAGAAAATACAAATGTATTGCCCAAAAGTTCGTGCCTTAAATACCAGCAGAGGCTCAGACCCAAGACTCAATTACATTAAGCCGTTAATTATGACAAACAAGTCGGTAATAGATTGAGGCGTCACAATAACAAGCTGCATGGTCTGGCAGCTGGGCCAAGATTAAACTAAATTATAGTTGCACGTCGCCCAATTTGACAAGCCCTGCGTAACAGCTCATTTGTCCATCAGTGGGGGGCGGGTTGGGGAGGAAATAGCAAATACATTCAAGCAACAGGCGGCGGACATTGCGGCAATCTATGAGAAACCGAGCGATAAGCATCTGCTCAATCAAAATTGATCTACACGCCCGTCAATCAAACGAGAGACAAAAGCTCCAACAGAAAAGGCTTTTCAATCGATTTTGATGGCTAATGCATGCCACAAAGGCTAACTGTAATGTACAGCAGCAGCAGCAGCAACACACACTTTCATCGATGACCTTGACGCAAATCAGTGGCTATTTATTTTGTTTTTTCGAATGCCTTTTTTTCTGCACCTTTTTTGGCCGACATATTTTCAGAGCAGTTGCAGTCGCTTTTCAGTCTCGGCGTCGGCTTCAGCTTTGGCTTTGGCTTAGGCTTTGGCTTTGGGCCGTGCAGATTTCTAAACACAATTGAAGACAAATCCACTTTAAAGCCGTCAAAAAGTACGAGAGCAGCAAAAACCAAACGTTAAGCAAGGCAGCAAAAATTAAAACTTGGCAAAAAAGAAAAAAAATACTTCGAGTACAAGCAGCAGCAACAACAAAAACTTAGGCAAAAAATGCTAAGCATAAGAAACGCGTTTGCGCATAAAAAAAATATAAAAAAAACAACAAACGTTTTGGCCAATTTCAACGATTTTGTTATTTTTTTATGTATTAACCGTTACTTTTTTTACCCGCTGAGCTTACCAATGCACCCACCACATTTGTTGTGGTTCTTGTTGTTGTTGTTTGTTTGTTTGTTTTTTAGTGGTTGTAGCTGGATTTTTAATCCCGTGTTGTAGCTGTTGTTGTTGTCGCTGCTATTGAAGTTGATTATTTGTATTTGATTGTTGGGCTTTCTATATGGCAAGCCGTGTAGTTGTTGTTGTTATTCAGTGCATTTGTTGCTAAGCCGTTTTGAATTGGAGCAATATTGGCGCGCGCTATATGTGTACGATTTTTTATTTTTATGACGATTTGTTTATGGCTCGTTTTAATTTTGGAATTAATTTCTTGTTTGTTTTTGTTTTACCAGTTTTGGAATTTACAGTTCGTTGTTATTTATTTATATAATAATGCTCGATTATCTTAGCCGCACTCACACACTCTGAAAACTTTATATTTAACTGACTTTGTCGAAATTGGATTGTTGCACTGTTAGACAACGTTGCGTATACGAAATATTTCTCGATGACTTTTTAGTACGGTCCTTAAATATGTTTTCAGCTGTGCTTGGGCTAGCAGAGGCTTTGGGAAACGCTTCTAACTTCTAAGTTGAGTCTTAAGGCCAGTGGGGCAGGCTGCAGGGCCTGGTGGCAAATGACTTTCACGCGACAAACGCAGCGGCGGCAACAGCAAATAATGTTCGAGAATCGAGTTCGAGTTCGAGTTCGAATTCGAGATGTTTATTTTTTGTGCAGGTTGTGCCGTGCGTCCGTTTTGCTACAGCGTCCACAATTAACTGAATTCCCACAGCGATCAGAAAACTGATAAGTGCTTGCTGCTGGCTAGCGCCCAAGAAGGCTGCCAAAAGCTCAGAGTAAGTCAGAGACAGAGCCGAGTCAACCCGAGCCGAGCCGTGGCAGAGACGGAGCCAGCCAGCCAGCAGAGACTGAGGCAGAGCCAGTCGCAGTCGCAGTCGCAGCCAAGTGCCAAGGCAAAAATAACAACAACAAGAGCAACAATAACAGTAACGGCAGCAGCGCACAAGAAAGGCAAAAGCACAAGTACAAACACATACATACGCACGTGCAAGCACACACACTAGCATGCAGACACTCACAGGCTGTCGGCGTACAGTGTCTAGCAGCGTCACAAGAATTGAAGCATATTATTTAATGATTCCCATTTAGACAATGTTCATATTTCATTTTTAAAATGTTTGTAGCTTTAATTTGTGGTGTAAAACAAGCAAAATTACAGACAATTTATCATATTTTTCTATATATTACTGTTACAAAAGAGAGCCACTCAAATATGTTAATATAATTCAGGATAATTTTGTATACGGATAAATATATGTAAATAAACCTAAATATTTTTAATAACAAATACAATCTTTATTCTCCTCAATAAATATTTGCCATCTTAAATCATAGACAATGGACCACTGTGGAACATGTTGATTAGCTTTGATTTGCAAGCATAGCAGAATCACAACAACAACCACAGTGCCAACAGCTTTTACGGATCAACATCAAAGCAGCCCACAAGATTCAGCTCAGAAAAGAACGGACAAGTTTGTTTTACAGTCAAAGAGTCGGTTGCGTGTAAGCTTCGTGCTCGACCAACGGTCAGCGGCAGCAACTCTATGTTCGTGGGCTGTCGTTAATTCAACTGCATTAAAGCACTAAAGCTGTATGTTAGGTCATTTAACATAGCCCTGTTAAGTGACATTAGAATTATATGAAGTTGGCTGCAAGCGCAAGCTTGAGATGCGTTAAGTTAGCTGCGAACGCACAATTTTGACATATCGTCCGCCACCACATTAACTAACGGAAATACAAATTTAAAAATTATATGTAATTTCAAGGCATCTTGATGCGAAACAAGAAATTAAAAATTATTCTTAAGTTTATTATTAAAGTTTATTATCAAGCCATATGTCAATTTACATTATTTACAAGCAATATTAAATATCATATTATCAAAAGAAATTTGCAACATTTTGCTAATAATTGGAATATGGGCTTTATTTTTTATATGTTTAATCTTATTTGCTAGCTAGCCATATATTGTTGTTATTAAATGATTTAACGTTCCAAATGCACAATAATTAAATATACGCTTAGCTTATCACAAAATTAAAAGGAATAGCTGTACATTCATAAAAAAATGACAAATGCTGAATTTGTTGACTCAGAACATCCAATTATCAAATTTCCCGCGACGTGTTTGTTGTCTGTTTAATAAAAAAAAAAACAAATTATTTATATATATATATATATATGTGGATATATTGAGCCGTTGATTAAAAGGATTGAGTTGTTTGGGTAAGCTAAGCTAAAGTGCATCTACACGTCTATAGTCTAAGTTTAAATTGCAATGATTTCTTATGATATGAATTGATAATTGACGATTTGATGAGATGAGTTAGGAAAGAAATAATACAAAAACAAAAGAGACAATCAAACGTTTCATTTTAATTATTTATTTGAATTACTTAATCTTTAGGCATCTTCATCGAACATTATTATTTATTTATGTGTTTGTATATCTTCGTTTTAGTATTTATAGTACATGTTTCATAACTTTAATACATCATAAAAATAATCATAATCATATGAACAAAACAAACTGTAATTGGGATATATGCTTATGCTAAAGCGCAGCTCATTTTAAAAAGATCACACAATGCCCACAAAGTTTTCAGAAAATTGTAAAAAAATACTTATCAAAAATATATATAGATATATAGTTATATATGTATATATGTACTTCGTATTGGAACTGAAACATTTATGCAGCATGCAAATTTATACCAAATTTTTGAGTTTAAACAAAGAATGGCAAAATGATCAAAAATTTACATAATCATAGAGTTGTATAGTGTGTATATATAAATATAGCGTTATCTACTGGATATATGGATAAAATGCAGCTCGCTGTGAACTAGCTGGAATCTAACATTGAATATTTTTGATATTTCGGTTGATAAGTACAAGTTGGGTTTGATTTTCGTACACGCTCTACAATGTTGGGATTGTCTTCGATACGGTTTGCCACACAGTTTGACAAGCATTGGAATGTAATAATAAACAATAATTTTATCGACAGCTCCATTTTCCGATTTTCTCTTCTCTTTGTTTTAAAGTTAAGAAAACCATATAGATTAAGGCTAGCTAAAATGGATTTTAACTACAGAAATCTCTAAAGCAAACGCACACAGCTAAGCGGGCCAACAAAAAACAACAATCAGGGTGCAAGCACGACTATGGGCAGAACTTGGCTGAGTTCCGAGTGATTGGAACTCCAAGCTGCTTCAAACTTGCGTCACGCACTGCGCATATTTGTCCAGTTCGCCGCGTAGCACCCTCACGCGCTCGGTCTCCTCGCGCAGCGTCCGGATCAGCTCCTCGATGGTGCGCTGTTGCGTCAAGACGGTCGTCTCCAACTTATCTAAGCGGCACTCGAGCTCCTGCACTCGTGGCAAGGCGTCTAGGTTGCTTTGATGATTGTTGAGCAACGATGTCGCAGGACTGTCATTCACGCTGACATTGTTGCTCCTCTCCGCTTGCTGCGTACTGCTGGCGTTGTTGCTCGTCTTAACCAGGGGTGACACGCTGCGATTACGTATCGCCAAGCTTTTGGGGCGTGTCGCTCGTGACTCCTCATCGCTGCTCATGGCAGTGGGTGCGGCAATAGGTGCTGCTGCTACTGCTGCTGCTGGTGCTATTGATGTTGTCGCCGTCGTCTTTGCTGCAGACATGCTCTTGGACATGATGGCATCGTGGCTGTTGTTGCTGCTGCTGCTGTTTATAATATTTGTGGTGGCTGACTCCATCTTTTGGCTGCTGCTGCTGCTACTGGTGCTGCTCTCCACGATCATAGACTGCTGCATGATGCTAGATGAGGTCACCGCACTCGATTGCACTTTCGATGCAGTCGTGTTGCTGCTGGTTGCAGTGTTGCTGCTGCTGGTAACGACCGTCGCTTGGTCGGTTGCAAACAGCTTTGAAGTGCGCTCAGCAACGGAAACTGGACCGCCACGGGGCTCCACGTTGGGCGACGACTTTTTGCGCGTCACCTGTGACGCTTTCAGCTCCTCCATCCAGGGCGCCTTTTTCTTTTCCCATTCGCGTGGCTTGGGCTTGGCCAGCTGCGGTTCCTCGCCCATCGAATTGTCATCGGACGAGCCTGTCGCTTGCTTGCCACCAACGCCGCCATCTTCGCTTAACTCGCTGGCGCTGCTGGCCATGCCGCTGCCATTGACATACACCGAATTGTTGTTGCTCTCGCCAAGCACATTGATGGCCGCCGAAGGCGGACGACGTTTGGGCGCCTTGACGCGTCCCGCGCGCATGTCCTGCAATATAGAGCCGCGTTCCACAGTATCAAAGTCCGTATCCTCAACGGCTATGGTAGCCGCACGCCTCATAACCACATTGCCAGAGGCGCCCGATTCGGGCAGCTGTCCGCCTACTAGTTTACTGCCAGCCAATCCATCGGAAACGTCGTGCGATACGGCGCTGGTTAATTTGCTTTCAGCGCTCTTCTTCTTCATGCCGCCGCCCAGAATGCTGCCTGGAAATGCAAATGAAACGAGTATTATTTAGTGGGCATACAGACAAGAAGAAATGAAATTACTCAAACAGAATGCAAATGCGAAGACTCAACTAAAATGTGATATGGTCAAAAAATAATATTGAAGTATTCAAACCATAAATTTCTGAATCTATATAACTATAGTTCTCAAATTAATTTCAGTTTATCTTTTTCATCTTTAATTTCCATAAACTCTTTTAATTCTTTCATTTGCCTACATAATTTTCTTTCTCTCCGTTTCTATTAGTTCCTCTAATTATCTACCTCATCTGTGGTTCCTTCTACATCTTTACTAGTTTTTTGACTTGCTTTGCCGTATCTAAGTCATCTTTAATTGATTCTTATTATTATTAAACTTTTACTTCATTCATTACTTATGCTATATATACCAAATTTATACTTCTTTGTTTTATGTTTAGCCTCATACATACTGTTTATGACCGTATTTGTTATACTTCATGAAAAGCTCTGTTTATACCACATTTCTATTACCGTTTTTGATACTATTTGTAGCTATACTACTTTTTCCAATCGCCCCCGACTCACAAGATTTGTAGCATACAAACAATGTTAGCTACTTTAACTATAACTTTTAATGTTTTTGCAAACATATTTTACTTTTTCTTTTTCAGCCAAGCTACTTTTACTGCTGTCGCATTCAGACATTTACTACTTTTTTTGCTACTAGCACATTCCTTCACATTCTCTGTTAACAAGTCCCAATTTTATGGCCTTTAAGCTAATGCCCACACATAAAGCTATGGCCCTGAACCGTTTCAAGTTGCAAAAAGAAAGCTGAAACTCCAGAGATTTTATTGGGAACTCATAAGTTAGGCCTACCAATTACTACTGCAGCGATTGCACTTTGAGTAACTCCATTTCAATTGAATTTCGCAAACTTACCCGGGACACCACCCGTGGGCGTCTTCTTAAGCGGCACACTGGGCTTCTTGCCCACCACTGGCGGCGTTGGCGACTTCATCTTCTCATCCATGTTGTCCAGACTCTTGCGCAGTTCCGCGTACGTCGCGGCTGAAGTGTTGCTGCTGCTGCTGTTGTTGCTCGTGGATGTTGTTGTTGTTGTTATGATCGTGTTGCCCTGCTGCTTACCAGCGCCACCGGGCAGCTTGCTCAGATCGAGGTTCTTGTTCTCCAACGACTTACGCTGGGCGGCCACAGTGCCAATCGGCAGACCCGTTTCGCTGAGTATATCATTGAGGGAATCGCGAGATCCAAAGCTCTCCTTGCGTCCCGTTGCAGACGAATTGCTGCTGCTGCCCGTCTTCTTGATATAGACCTTCGATGTGGTTGAAGCGCTGCTCTGCTGCTGCTGCGTCACCGCTGTGGTGGTGGTGGTGCTGCTGCTGCTGCTGGAGTTCGTTGTGGTCATGTGGCTCGTGTTGCTTATCTTGCGCTGCGATTGCTGCGTTGTGCCTGCTGCTGCTGCTGCTGATGATGGCTCGTTAATAGGCGCGACTGCAAAAGGGCAGAAAAATGTTGAAATCATTTTAGACAATGAAGTTTTTGTGTTCATCGCTGAATGTGGGCTGCACTTTAGGCCACCCAACAGCAACGATCAGCGTTTGATCAGAAACAACAACAACAACAACACATCGCGCACTTCAAGACGAGTTCCGTCCAGACGAGACAAGTCAGGTCAACTTGAGCTGAGTGTTGCGTTGTGTTGTGTTTATTATTAAAGATGAGCACGTCGCGAGCGTCGGCGTGACTAACATTCAGAATGGCAACGGCCAAACGACTACCGCAACAGCTGAGCTAAGCTGCGCTGAGCGATAATGCAAACAACGAAACGAGTTTCGCTGCTCAACTGTTGCCAAATGTCAATAAATTAACGTGGATGTCAAACAAAGCGCTAGTGGCGTAGGAGCCAAATGCAAAAGCCAATTCACACACAGCAAACTACAAATGATCAGCTAGAGATGCGTGCGTGACACGCACACAGCAATCACAAATCACATGCAACATCTGCACATACTCTAAGCATTATAAGCAAAACAATTCGATGAGTTTGGAAGTATTGCCAAAGACTTTGAAATTAGCTAAAGTATTTAAGAAATTCTATATCAAAATATGAAAATACATTAATTGAACTTAAACAATAAAAGGTCTACCAAAATTTTAATTTAATTATTGAATTTACTTTTCAGAAACGTAAAATGAACACACAATGCATGAACATGCTAAGACAGATCGAGTTGAATGCAGTAAATTGTCCCGTTCGTGTCCCGAGACACGCTCTCATCTCTACTACAAATGGTTTAAGATAAATAGCAAATGTGCGAGGCGCGCATACATAAATAAACAGCAATAAATGTTGTTGATGGCTACAGAAATCAAAGCACACGTTGATTGAGTAACGCTTAAATGTGTAAAGGTCACGCAAAACAAAGCAGCAACAGCGACAGCGACAATAACAACAACGGCAACAATAACAACGTCAGCCAATGGACAGCGGACAAATAAATGACAACAAAAAGTTAGCCATAGAATAGACAGCTTGGCTACGAGTCGTAGATAATTGCAAGTGGCTAAAGCGAATGCGCTGACGACTTTCACTGCTACCAAATGACAAACAGGCGCAAGCAATAATAACAACAAAAGCAGCAGCAGCAAAAAGTTGTGCGCGAATTGAAATTTAATATATGTGATATTTTTATTTATTTATTTATTTATATTTTTATTTTTAAGTATTGAGTAATTGAGCGTCGCTGTTGTTGGTGCTGTTGCCAGCGGCAAAGCGAAGAGCGCGCACAAGCACAAAAAAACGAAAGACTTAGGCAACAAACTTGACTGCCTGCTTTGATTTAATGATGACTGCGTTTCATTTTAACTTTTAACAGGCTAATCATCAATCTCTCGCACACACACACACCACACACACACACATGTGCACATATGCGTGTGTGTTTAATTATATGTTTCAATTTCCACAGCGACAACTCGCAAAGCGCAACAAAAGTTGCCAATTAGCTAAACTCCATGGTTTCGGCCCATGTGGCAAATGCAGTTGCAGAAAGCAGCAAAATGAGCAAAAGAAATCCGCAAGAACGGTAATTGTATCACACGCACCAGTCACAACACCAACAACAACAACAACAATGAAACGAGAGAAGAAATAAAAACTTGCCGCCGCACCAAAAAGAAATATAATTGAATAACGTAAATGGTCAAGAAATCAAAACGTACTGAGCCAAAAAGGTAAACAAAAATGCTGGCAAAGGTACAACAAGCGCTGCTCGGACTTGGGAGAGCGGCATGCCAAGAGAGCCACTCTCTGGCAACATTGTTGATAAGCCAAAAACTAAAGCAATCAAACAATGATGGAAGGGTGCAGAGAGCGGAGAGCGGACAGTGGAGTGGAGAGCGGCTGTCGACAAGTGAAGCGCGCGCATTTTGTTGTTGCGGGGCTCGGCTCTGATAATCGCTGCCTAATGTGCGCCCATAATGAAGTTCAGTGCTCATGATCAAGTTGATTATGTGCGAGCCAGGCTAGAGAGAGCGAGAGAGAGCAAGAGACTCGCAAGCAAAGAGCGCAACATCAAATTGGAACAAAAGCCGCAACAAAAACAATAAACGAAGCACTAAAACCAGTTACAAGTGATGTTTTAATATTGTTGTGCTTTGTGGTTGTTGTTGCGAACGAAGGTGGTTTTGCGTTGCGGTTGTTGCTGCTGTTGTTGTTTTTGCTTTTGCCTTTGGAACTGCGACGTTGACAAAAGCTAATAGCACAGCAAAGCCAGAAAATAAAAAGTATACAAAAATTTGATTTACATGCGAAAAGAGAATTCAGTTGCAACGAATATTGTATACACTTTCTGCTATGAAATGTGCGCTATTCAGATTATCAAAAGAGAAAAACTTTCAAAGAGTAAAATTGAATTCAAAAACTCGGTTTTAACTGCTGATATTTCAGGACGACTTCAAGGGAGATATCAGTTAGAATTATTAATTAAGATTATTCAAATGAGCTTTGAATATAAAAGTAGTTAAGATGCAATTTGATAACCCTGTTCTGGTTGTAACTAAATCATATTATTAAGCAGTGCATAGCTAATAATATAAAGTGCTTTATTAAGAGCAAAAGGCAGACATAAAATCAACTGCAAGTCGTATTTCCTACTGATTATGTTTAGAATTTAAAACCAAATATGTAACAGCTACAATTGGCCTGTAATTAAAGCCAACTACGAACAAATTACTCAACAAAATGTGCAAAATCAACAAAAATATCTATATCTATATAAGGAACATTTTATATATTTTACAGGCAACCGCAAAGTATGCAACATGAGTCGATTTAAATATATAACTTAGCTATATACACATTAACAATATGTAAAATAAAATGCAAAGCAGCAGCTAACTAATTAGGTAAGTGAGTCAAAGCGACGCAGGCGCGTTTTAAGCAGCGCCATAAAAACGCGCAGAAGACGCCAAAGCCTCGCAGGCAACAAAAGACAATGTTTAACAAAAGGCAAGTCAAATAACTAGGCAAACACAAGCAAAAACATAAACAAGTTTAGCCATGCAAATTGACAACTAAAAGCGAAAACAAACATGAAAAACCGCATTCGAAATGGCTAAGGAAAACGATGCCAAGCGAGCTTTGGCTAAGATTTTCCGCGACTGGGTCTAATTTTTCGAGCGCATTGCCGGCGCCAAAGAAAGCCAGATCGAGATGGTAGATAAATAATAATAATAATGAAAATGGAAAATAAATCATAGAAATTATGTACATGGCCAAAAAGAGCCAAGCGATTTTCCATTTCACATCGCAAAGGCCTCGCGGCACGGAGAAAGGAAAATGAAAACTGGCCAAAAACGAAAAGAAAAACTCTGGCGGCTGCCACTGGAAAAACTCGTTTACATACAAATCGTCGTAATAAAGCTGGCCATACGAGCGCCCAAGAACTCGAAAGAGCCGCCGCGCTGCGGTCCCGCTCCCGGACCCGCTGCCCCGCCACCACGGCGTGTGCGTGGCCGCGGACGTGGAGGGGGCAGAGGCGCTGCCGGAACATCAGTGCAGTTTGGTGTGCGTGTGTAGAGTGTATAGAGTG